TTGTTTGCAGCCATTCACAAGCAAAACAAAAATAAATCCATTTTTGTACAATATACAGATCCACTTGAGTTCATGTTTGGCCTTCTGTTAAACAAGGCATTTCACATTTTTTCCAGCATGAGCAAGGCAGCTACAGTTCAATTTAAAAAAAATTATAAAAATTCCATTATGAAGTTATTTTCACCAAAGCTGTCTACAAAGATGGCAGCCTCTGACAGGAAAGCTTATTTACCTCCAAGCCTTAAGATCACAGGAGACTAGTGAGCCTTTCATCAAACTGGAAGAAGATACTTACTTTGGCAAGTATTTTTCTGCTTTATGAAAGAAAAATAAAACCCCAAAAAGATGTTTCAGAACTTGATAGATTTATTTTTATATAAAAAAGTCAGAGTACAACTCACTAGGTGAATACCACATCTTAGCATTTTTTCCTCTTCCAATACTTGTTAAAAAGAATAAGATAGCCTGAAACAAAAGTAAATTAATATATACACAAAAATGGCAACAGGACTACATCATGAATTAAACAATCCCAATGAGCATTTTCTGCTCCAAAGCTGCAATTGTCTTCTAATCACTTTCACTATTATCTGTTAAAATTAGGTTTCAACTGCAGCCTCACAAACAAAAGTTCAAATCTGAATTCAAAAGACATAGAGAGAATAAACAAGCAACCAAAAGCAAGCATTCATCACCATTAAGATATACAGTAAATAGCACCCTATGCCCCACACATTGAACTCTACACACTGTTCAGTAGTGCTTAAGATGGCATACACTTCAGGTGCTAATATTTTTCTAGGAGACATTTTAACTACTTCAGAGTTGCATAAACCTGATGTTTTTAAAGCAGTTAAAGAGAAATCTTTGGACTCCGAGATGGAAGTACTTACCCTATAGTAAAAGTGCTTCTCTGAGTTTTAGTAAATGTGAATCCCACTGTAGATGTGCACACGTGTAAGGCCTGAAGTACAGCTTTTTCTGGGGGCATGTTTTCTAGGACCAACAATATAGTTTGGAGATATTGAGCTATTATAACCAGTAAAACACATCAATGAAAAAAACTGCTTCTTGCATATTTCCTGAAGCATAACAGCCACAGCAGTACTCCAAACCTGTAAAACTAGACACTTTGTTTTGTTTTCTTAAACAACAGAGCCGTGTATATGCCCTGTGCCCTCTCATTCAAGGGCATAAAAGATAGGACAGGTACAACCTTCCATCAGCTCAAAATGCTGGTTGCTGAGAACTTGAAGGATGTCTGCAATGATATTGGGTAGTCTTCAGTAAGCCCAAACCAAATGAACCCTCCCTCCTTGTCTCTCTCTTAATGTGCAGCCACTGCACACTATACTTTTTGCTCCTCAAGCAGAGACCTCCTCGGAAACAGTCTACAGATCACTTGTCTCTCCTGCTGTGCTTAACTCCAATTACAGGCAGAGGAGATAGAATTGCTATACAGAAGGACCAGAAGTCAAGAAAAGGGAATTATGGGATTTGGTAAACTTCCCACATTTGCAGCCTGCAGCACCAGCTTCTGATAACTCAATCATCTGCAAATATGAGCAATAATACATCACAGTTCCCAAGCAGTTCTAGCTGAAAAAACAGGGAAATGACATAACTGTTTCCGCTTCCTGTTGGTGCTTGTCTTTGAACAGCTAGCCATTGAGGTCCACCACGGGACTCAGTGCTGGATTTAGGTACAACCTAAGTAAGTTACATCTTAGGACCTCACATTTAGGGGCCTCTAAATATGGGAAAAAATACAGTAAAACCTCACAAATCCAGAGTGCTCAGAAGCAAATGCATGCTGAAAATTTGAAAATGCTGTTTTTTTTAAACCGGCACTGCAGCCAGTTGCAGAGCTGGGGAGGGTAGCAGCAGCTGGTTCTGGAGTACCAGCTGCATGTAGAGCAGCAGCACAGGGTGTTTAATGGAGGTGGCAGCAGCCGTGTGCAAGTTTCCCCTGCCACTTACAGGCTGGCGCGGGAGAGCGGCAGCTAGTCACAAAGTGGCAGGGGAAGTGCCAGGGTTTTGGGGCCTCTTAAGATTGACATATTTTAGGGCCCCAGCATGTCATAATCCAGCCCTGATTAGCCTGATAGACTTGGATTCTCTGCCTTCTAAAACGCATCACCATCACTGCCAGTCATTTGTGGACTATTCAGTGTTGTGAAGAATCTAAACATTGTATGTTGGTTAGATTCACAGTGAGACCCAGTCACTAGGTACTCCTGTGTGCTGTTGGGTGGAAGGCTTTAAGTCAACAGTCACAAACCAGTCTTGAGGATGAAGAGCTGAAGGTAAGCCTTACCATTCTAAGGCAATATATTTGTTGAGACCCCCTGAGGTCTAAGTTAAAACTGAGACCTCTCTTTTTTCTTCAAAATATGGGGGTACCATAAGTAGAAGCTTTATTCCCAAACTCCAGTGAAATTGCCTCTTTTGCTCCTAGATGAAAACAAAGCTTCATTAAATTAGCTGAGAAATGGGAAATCTGAACACATATGACATAACTCTATTTAGAATGGGAATACTGTACTCCTTTTGAGTTGAGACAAACAGAGCTGTATTCATTATTAAATCCCTTTAAAAATATGCTGTAGGAAGTGACATGTTGCAGAAAGTAAAGCTTGAAAGTCCCTTTATTTAGAAGGAGTGCCCAAAACTCAAAACACAACATGGCATTTGTGGTGTTAAGGCTGCTATTGCATCAGTATTTCCATTAAAAAAAAAAAGAACCAAAAAGAAAAACAAAAACAAAAACACTGCTTTCAGGAATTTACAGCACCATAACAGTGATCCCTTCTGGGCTAAATTTTGCCACAAGTTCTCAGTCCAAGATGGACTGAAAGACAGCCACCTAACCTTCTATGGGTAAACTTGAACATTTCCTTAGTTGATTTCAATATATTTCTGAAAAATACTAACCACCACCTAGAATTACTTCGTACTGACTTTCAGATTTTTTTTTTTTTTAAAAAGCAAGCAAAATGCTTTCACTGATTTAGAAAGAGGACAATACTGACTAGGACCGTGATTCTCAACCAGCATCCAAGGATAACTTGAGATCTTTTCAGGGGTGCCGCAGGGGGTCACACAATGTTAGCACTATTAGGTGTGCAAACATGATTCACAAGAAAAACCCAGAGATTTCAAATAGGAATCCAAAGTGTTAAAAATAGACTGACCTGTTGGGGTCTTTCTGAGCTCTTTGCAACAGAAGAATTGAAAACCAAGAGCTGACATTTTCTGAAAGGTTCCTTGACCCCATCATGGTGTGTCTTGAGCCTCTCATTAAACTAAGATACTCTTGGGGAAACTGAGTCACCACAGCCATGCACCCACACCCCCCAGCAAGAGGGGTTACACAAACAAAAAAACCCCACATCATCATCTCCTGTACTGAACACACACAAAGACAAAATACGACAGACCAAAATAAAATATGATAGTCAAATCATTAAGGTTCTTAATTAAACAGAGTCTGCACAGCATTTGCTAATAGTATCCTGATTGTAATTGCACAAAACAGCATTCTGAAAACTTCCCTTTTAAAATAAGCCACGCATTTTGCTAATGAAAGACCACAAGACCCTCACATTTACATTAGCAGAAAACTTAGTCCTTTACACTGTAAACTCACATGAATGGGAAGATAACCTTGGAAGTATGAAACCAATGTAGAATATCTCCCATTAAAAAAAAAAGTTAAACGCAGTTGTAGAATTTCATGTGCTACACATCGGAGTGTCTCAGCTCGCAGAAAGCCTTGCTCTAAACCAGACTCAAGTCTCCCACAAGGGCATAGGAGGTGCATGTACATGAGCCATTAAGGCAATGTGATAAACTCTGACACAAAAAGCGCCAACGTTTATCATGATACCTAAATGGCACACCTGGATGCTCCACCGGCTGCAGCCCAAGGCACATGTACAGACACTGTGCCTGTGACCACAGCAGTTTGAGCCAGGGCGAAGCAGCCCCAGGGGGTCAGCCCTTGGCTCCAGGAAGTGGCAGGGATGCCTGGGGCATAAGAGTGCCCCAGCCTATAGAGCTCTGTGGCTAGGTAGCAGGCAGGAGTCTGAGCCCCTGCTGCCTGGGCACAAGGTATGCCTGGGTTAGCATTTACACATGCATTTAGGTGCAGTTAGTTTTTGCCACTGTAAGATAGTACTGTCTGTGGTGAAAATTAGTTTGCTGCAGTCTAATAGCTTCACACATGTGGACTGTGATGCTTTACACTACAGCAAATTAGTCTACTGCACAGTTAAGCGCATGTGTAGATGCACCAAGGGTCTTGTTTATAAGCACACTAGTTATCCTTATTTTAATCATCAAAGTAGACTACTCTGAAGAGGAAGCAAATTTATATGGTGGGATTAGAATGGAGAATGTGTAAGTGATTGTGATTGTTTAGGCATTTACTTTGGATTAATTAAAAAAAAAAAAAAATCAAATCAATATGCAGGGTATAAGACAACATATTAAAGGACTGCCATACCTAACAGAATGCTGAGAATATCCACCATCCAGATAACCATATTCAGATCAAAACCTTCTCGCAAGAGATGGCAAGAAATTAAACCTCTATGGAGACATGGTACACTCTGGCTCTAGGAGGAAGAGCTACATCTCTGGGTCTGCAGGAAGTTACATCAAGCCCACTCAACATGAGGAATGCCCCTTATTACATGAGAATAGATGGCAACACACACTGATGCCAGCAAACGCTCTCTAAGGACTCAATATTTTACCCTATCCATTTATTTAATCTATGTAGTCATTTTCTTGGTCCTGAAAGCCTTTGTATCAATATGCTGAAGTGCTTCCAGCTCAATGATGTAGCATCTTCAGTTAATGTCATTCATGTCTTTATTTCTCATTTCTGCACAGTCCCACTTCAATCCTAACATTTTAGTACGTTCTCCCACAAAATGCTCGAAACAGGGAATAATGTGCTTTAGTTTATACAAAAGCTTTGATTCTATACTTACAGCAGAAGAGGAAAATCTCTGGTTTCTAGTTACAACAGCTGAATCACCACTACAAGAATAGAGTCACAAAAAAAACTAGTGAGTAGCAGGCAAAGAAAGAGGTAATCATAATGACTTGAGTTTAACATCTAATACTTCACAACTACTGGAGCTGAATAAAAAGGAGATGTGCTGTATTTAACTCAAAATCCCTATAAATTTGTCAACCCCTCAGCTCCTCAAGGTAACACTTTTTATATCAATCATTAGTCCTTTCCTATAGCTTAGCAATATACAGGACTGGATGCCTCAAGACCACTGGATGCACAATTTTCCTTTTCTCCTCCGCTCTCCCCCCACTTCCCCAGTTACCATCATGACAGATGGCTGCTTGCATTATAGCATGCAAGAGCCCTAGTTACGGACCAAGACTTGTGGTTCTAGGTGATGTACAAATACAAACAAAAAGATAGTACCTAACCCAAAGAACATTGAATCTAAAGTATGAGACAAGAAACAACAGATGGGAGAATACAAGAAAATAATGAAACGATACTGATCAGCATGATAGATGTTAGTCTCAGCACTCAAGCAGCATAGTGCTGTCAAATTATTCATGCTTATCATTAAAAGTTTAAGGAAAGGGGTCTGAATATTAAACTTGGTTATCTTGGTTATACATTGCTTGTGATACATTTAGAACATGGTAATCATAAGGTCACATTTAATTACACTTTACTCCTCAGCTGTTTATGACATTCTGTGACAGTGTTTTGTCCTGTTGATACAGCACACCATTCTCTAAGCCAGGCATGTCAAAGATACAGCCCACAAGCTGAATTCAGCCCACAATGCTGCCCCTGGGTCTCAAAATGGACCTGCATACTTCACACAGGGTGCCCTGGACCAGCCCAGGTGCTGGTTCACCACCCCAAACATGGCCCCACATGTTGCACATGGCTTGTGGGCTGGTCTATGGGCACAAACTAGCCTGCAGAGCAACCCCATACAACTCATCCAGCCTGTGTGGCCTGATGAGCTTGATACCTCTGCCCCAGGCTATTTCTCCTGATCCATGTGCAACACCAACGGCCCAATTTACTTACTAAAACAGAAAACTGTAGTTAAAATCTAGTTGTGTCTCATGGAAAAAGAATTGCTGTTTTGCCATAACTGAAATTATTCTTCTTTCACTAAGAATAAGTAAAAAAACACCATTTACCACAAGCTTTCAAATTACATGTATTTTTAGTCTTAGATTATTTAAAACAAATTAGAGCACACAAAAAATACTTAAATGGTACAAAAAGCAGATACTAATTTTTGGTAAAGCATGTCATACATTCCACTTTTTCCCCCCAGTTCCCTCTAAACACATTTTTAAATAAAAAAGAAATACTTTCCATGACGTGCAATTTATTATCCTTCACAAGATGGAAAACTCTGTCCCCTGCATGGCACAAAGGAATCCATCCTTGACTTCATACAGCATGGAGATGTTTTTTTCATGCCCTCCTCCCCCATGGAGAAAACTTTTTTAATTCTCTTGAAAGAATGAAAAGTTAAGTATTTTCAGCATATAACAGAATTTCAAATACAACACTTGAATATTGTACGTCATTTAGCTTACCAAACTCAGACAATGTCAAGTATGCAGTGTTTTACTGAAAAAAAAACTACTTTTAAAATCTTAAGCCAGGAGCAAAGAACAAACTAAATGACAAGATCCTTGCCCTCTAAACAACCACCTCCCCATGAGTCTGTCAGTTCACTAGACTAATTGCAACAAGTGATGTCAGAGTCAGTCTTTCTACTATGTCAGTTTCATAAACTTCCCTTTCTACAATAGCTCAGGCAGGAGGAAAAGCAGGGTTACCCCTTAGGGCTAGGTACAGACATTAAAAAAGCCTGAGGGAAATTGCTCTAAGTTACGCAGTTTATATCGGTAGCAAACATAACACACATTCACCCTTTGGTGGGAGGAGCAAGTCTTAGATTGGGTTCCACCAATTTTAAAACAGCCTGTGTGTGCTGAATTTCTGTTTTAATGGATATAGACTGGTTTTGTGTGCTGAATTTCTGTTCTGTTACGGGTATAGACCAATTTCCAATCACTTATATTAGTAGAAGTGCAAGGTCTGTACCTGGCCTAGAAGCTTAACTCCTCTAAGTTTTTGTAGGCAACAGCCTACTTCCTCAGCTACAAAACATCAAGAATTCTGAAGCATCTCTGCTGAATGCTGAGAGCAATCCCAGCGGAGCTACAGAGGAGAGAAGCAACCCAGGAAGTCCAAAGAGCCCCAAAGTCAACGTTACAAACCAAGACAAATGCCTAACAGGCCCACTGCCCCATCTCTACAAATGCTGTGTGTTTTTAAAAGTTACTTCCCAGCCTTTTTTACAAGTACACCTGCAACAGGTTATTGTTGTTTGACCTAGGTAGCAGAAAAGTATTTTTCAGTTGCATTAAAATTTTAAAAAGTTTTCAGTTTTTCAAAAATTGTGGAACATTTCTGTGCTTTTAATGAAATAAGATGGAGAATCAGAACATTTTCAGCATTTGGCTGTATAGCATGTTGAAATGATTGCAGACCATTTATTAATATTATATGTTAGCCTGGTTTTTGGAATGTTTAGTACATGGCTGTTAGGGAGACTAAGGAAAGACAAGCAAGAAGGGAAAAAGAATAGGTCAAATTAAGCCCCACCATAGCAAACACTTCAGGGTTCTTAAGAGATGATGCCCCAACTAGATAAATCCTGGAAATAAGCCAAAAAACTCCCCTACCGCAGTCTAAAAAAGGACACTGTCAGCAGAAAGTGAGGTTTTTGGAACAATGTTCAAGAAATCAGCCTGATACAGGACCTATTACAGTACCTAAAGAAGCTAGGCCTAGTTAGGTTGTCATCAGGAAACCGATAGCCTTTGGTAAGATTGTAGCATGAACCGAACTAATGTAGGTGATGTTAACATAGAGTGTAATAATAGTGAAATATAACCAAGTTAGTCTTATCCTGTAAGCAACTTGAAAACTCCATTTTGTATCCTTCTGCTTGACATAAGTGAATAAACTCTGCATCAGGGGTGTACTTGGTAGCCGTGTTTATGTATGAGTGTGTATAAAAGGGTGAATGGTGAGAGAATGGCATAGAAATGGGAGAAGACGGTAACTGTTTATGCAAGCAACAAGGCGCCAAATGTAAGTTACCAGTCAGTAAACTAATTAATAAATGGCTGAAGAATCCCTTTGAGGCCTAGGGCACAAAGAAGATAACAAGGAAAAACAACGCACCCATCCTGCCAGACAGGCAACAAGAATACTCCAAGGCTAAGATAAACTGAAGACAAAAGAAGAACAACTGCAAAAACAGAAGCTGGGTATGGAAAAACCCCAAAGCACTGAAACAAAGGATGGCAATCCCTATAAAAGAACACTTTGAAAATGCCAAATTGGGGGAGGCTCTTTCTCTACTGTTGCTTCACCAGACCACAGACGCATCTGTTCACCCCACTACAGCTGTTATCTTCAAATCTGCTATCTTCAAATCATCATCATCTACTCAATAAGGCCAGGTTGGCGACCCTGGGCTGATATTGAGCCATTATTGCTGGTAACTATATCTGGTGTATGCGTGGATGAAATGGATGTTTTGTGTATGTGTATGCCTGTGTGTAATGATATGTATGATGATTTGCATGTGTTTGTATGAATGGTGTGTCCAAACCTCTATATCTAATTCATGTAATCAATAAACGCAGCATCATACCTTATCCCCCTTTATAAAGTCTTGCTCATGATTTGAGCAATTGGCAATTTGAGTAACAAGATAACGATATGTGCAGACTTTTTTTTAAACGTTTTTGTCTTATGCTTTGCTCCCTCTGTGAAAAACAATACTTTGTTTTGGAAAAGGTTGTCTGACCCATATTCAGGCTGTAACTATCCACATTTACATCTATGAAAGATGTCTGAAGGAAGAAGCCAAGAACCAAATGGAATCAGAGCAGCAGACCAACCTAGGAAACGAATGTAATCAAGGAACCTGCACAGTAACACTGGACTGTTCAAGGAGCACCCAGGCCAACACTTATAGTAAACTACTTCTGTGCCAAGTTGAAATGACACCATGCACACCAGCAACACTTAGACTGTAAAGACTTTGGGACAGGAGCCGTCTTTTTGTTGTGTGTGTGTATTGCACCAAGCATGAGGAATGGATGGGGGGAGAAGGGTTGCAGTAGCACAATCACATCTTCCACCACACTTGACTGTGCAGCACATACACAGTGGGCTCTCTGAGCTCACCAGCATACCAGCACAGCTCCTGCTGAAGAGCCTCATATGAGTACCATGAGCTCCAAGTTCAACCAGCTGATCAACATGAGGTCTGTCTGAAACCACTGCTTTCACAGCTCCAGAGTCCAGGGTTGAGTGCTACCGCCATTCACCCTCTCTTCCTTTCACCACCCACTGCTGAATTGTTCAGTGGCACAGGAAAAAGAGCGGAAGAACAGCAGAAGGCTCAGCCCCTGTTTTCATGCAGCTCTGGAGCCCAGAGCTTTTTTACTTTATGATATTAATTCACCCCCTAAATCCTTCCACTTATGTGAACATTTTAGTTCTTAAGAAAAGTCCTCCCTGGCCAAACAAAACCTTAGATTTTGTTTTTCCAGAGCCCAGCCCCTGTTTTCATTCAGCTCTGGAGCCCAGGGCTGAGTACCACCACCACCACTCATTCCCTCTTTGCCCAGCTAATGAATTCAGTTGGGGACGTGGGGAACAGAAGAAAGAGAATAGCAGTGGCACTCGCCACCTGACCTCCAGAACCAAGTAAAAGCAGAAGTCCAACCACAGGCCATACTGACCAGCTGATGAGCTCAGAGCTCGAGCAGGAGCTGTGCTGACATTGCAGTGATCTCAGAAAACTCAACGTCCACGATCTCAGTGCCCGGTGGAGGGCAGGGGCTGTGGCCACACCCCTCTTGCCACAATCCTGGACCCACCCACAAGCACAAGTCTAATATAATCAGAACTTAAAGTTTCCATGGTATCACAAATAATGTACAAT